GTAGTGCCCCATTAATAAAAAAATAAATTTCATCTATCCGCGGCAGTGGTTTGGTTTTGCTTGACTTATGGTTTAGCTTATGACTTTTCTACATTGCCACAATGTGTCGAGGCCAAGACAAACACTAGATGGTTTTTCTATGATTATCACACCGCGTCGTGAGCGTTTTCATACCAACCACGAATATTGCGAAATACGTTTTGCAGTGACCACAACGCATTGTTGAGCTGTTTTTTTGCTCAGTTGGCGTTTTCGGTCTTTGACTTATGATTAAGGCCCATTGAAAACAGTAACTGGCGTTTACTTTTTTCTTTAATAGTCAATATTCTAAATCATAAATAAGTCGAATAGCTTTACATCAGTCTTAATAAGATATTCCTAAAGTGTTTTCTAGACCACTAGTAAGTTATAGTGATTTACTTTAATATTTAGCTTTGCAAAATTGGACTTCGGTCCACACATTTTGTAACAGTTATTTTTTTGGTATATTAGTAAAGCGACACCTGTTGGCCGCATCGCTTTGTTGTTGATTTATCTAAAGTAGTTTGTAGCTACGGTATTGATCTCCTTTGTTCACTTTCGGACCACAAGATGGCGTTGGTTTGAGACATAATAGATTGATAAAAAGACTTCCTTTTTTAATCTGTTTTGTTATTCTGTCATGTCAAATTGTATAGGTGTTGAGAGTGTTCAGCTATGGTGGAAAGCAAGTTACTTTTGATTTTGTTAGCGTTGTTTTCTTTCTCAATGTAAATGTCAAAGTGAAATGATGAGGAGGGGTTAACTTCTGGAAGATTCCTGAACCGAGGATATATAGGTCCGGCTTTCTGCCACGGGAGACACTCTGCTATCTCGTGTCTTCCAACCTTAAATAGTGTTTTGATTGTCGTGTAATTTGAATTTCGGAATATGTAGTCTGTTATAATCTACCCACTAATGTGGTAAGTATTCTCTCAATTCTTCTTAAACCTATTTGTTTCTGGAACCTGTTTAATTTATATGAGTGCTAATCCATTCGTAGGGTCCCAGATTTCGGGCTCAAGACGGTCAGTCTCAGACGGCGTGCTTGCTCTTTTGTGGCCTTCTGGTACAGACTCAAGTTTCTTGGTACCCTCTGGCAAGGCTGGTGATTGCGCGGCTCACGACGCAAGCGGACAGCCGTACCCAAGAGTTGCGTACTTGAACTTATGATTACAAATTTGTTGAACTTTTATCCATATCCAGTATAAATAGCTGACTCGGGCGGAAGAGGAAGTAACCTCCTGGAGGGACGACGAGGAGGCACCGAGCACCATCAGCTCGGCTCTGACGCGCTCCGCTGCGGTTTTTTTTATACCCTCTGATTTTTTTTAAATGTAAATTTAATTTTGTTTTGAAATATACATGTATGTATGACTGAGGTGTAAGTTGTTTTCCTCTAAAGAGTCCCGTAGGTTTCCCACACGCACACACTTCTTTTCTCTTAGAAGGCGCCCTGAGGTAATCTCATAGATCTCTCCACTGGGTCAGCCGGTGAGTAGTCCGCCTGAGAAGAAAAGCGGCTACAAATTGGCGCCCAACGTGGGGCCAGTGATCCAAACCTCTGTGTGTGTGCTGTGTGAGGGTGCCTGAGGGTATTCACTTTGGAGGAGACACTTCCCTCCGTCCGATACTCCCCAGGACGTTAATTGGTTGTGCGGGTGCAGTACGCATGTAATAATTTTTACCCTCATTATATTTTCAGCCTACCATCATCCCTGAGGCAAGGAAAATATATGAGACACCTAAATTCCAAATTAATACAAAATTCCAACTGCACATATTTCGGGTAAGTTTTGAAACATTTTCTGGCCTAAATTTTTTTTTTCTTTTTTTTGAGTTAGCTACTTCTGTTCGTACCTTTGAGGTCCGTAGCGTGAAGTTGTGCATACGTGTATATTCAGTGTGTTTTTTATCCCAGTACTACTGGTGTAATTTACATGAAACTTAACTTAACTTATAAAGTTTTATGTACCCTCCATTTTTTTATATAACCTCTTGGCTTAAAATTAGAATAAAATAGTTTTGTGATATACATACCCTACTTAAAATTTATGTTGAAATAACTTTTATGATAATTAAACTTTGTCAATTCATTGGATTACTGTGTTAATGTTCTAAAGATAATATAACTTGTGTCTTGAATTGTGAAACAAGAATATCTTTGTCTTTAGTTGAATTTGCTTCTCAAGTTTTGAGAAATTACTTGATATTTTAATATTTTATTACAATATTTGTTAAAAATATTAGTGTGCTTTAGCTTTCTCACACTTAATAGTGAAGAAGTATACTCAGTTTCTACTTTGAAATATTACTTGATATTTTAATATTTTATTGTAATATTTGTTAAAAATATTAGTTTGCTTTAGCTTTCTCACACTTAATGGTGAAGAAATATACTCAGTAGCAATATTTTTTTACTTTGAGATATTACTTGATGTTTTAATATTTTGTTATAATATTTTTTAAATATTAATTTACTTTAAACTTCTCACACTCTGTTGATAGTAAAGGAGTCTACTTAATATCATTATTTTTTACTTTTTTTTGAACTGTAAAAGACATTAAGTCTGCATTACTGGTTTGTTAACTTGTTAAGATTATTTTTTTTTATAATCGAATTTGAATTGTAAACCACCATGGCACATTTATGTATGTGCATTAACTACCTTAAAATTGATGAACTTATTAATGAACTGTCTTCCATGGGGATTTCAGAGAATCCTGAGGATACGGTTGTCGGATTGCGAAGTGAGATGCGTACTGCTTTGCGGCTTATCCGGCGTGGCCGCTTTAAGGCCATAGCCGCTGTTCCTGCCTTTTCCGCCTCTGACATGGTCTGTCAGCGGGCTTAAGGTCTTTGAACTGGAACAGGTTTTTTCTTCAGGTGACTCCGTTTCGTATTATAAATTGTCTTATTAGAGTTGGGGCTAGATACCTTCTAGATAGGTTAGCCGGTGTAGTTATAACTGACTAGACCTTCTCAGGACACCCCTTTGTGACCTGAGGGGTCCATTCACTACATTTCCTACATGGGAAAGGTTCTTTCAATTGTGGTCTCGGACTACGTCAAAATTTTTCTTATTTGTGTCCTATGAGGATTGCTTCCGGCCTACTGTCGTGTTTGGGTCCCATATGGATGGCTTCAGGTTATGTCATGTGGTGTCCTATATGGATAGCCACAGGCTTTGTAGTCGCGAGTCATAGTATAGAATGTTTTCCTAAACCACGGGGTTCGTAAAACCACATATGGATTTTGGCCCTGTTGAGGATATTCCCTGCGCACACTACGCAGGGAATACTTTGAGGGAGGGGGTGGTGTAACAGTTATTTTTTTGGTATATTAGTAAAGCGACACCTGTTGGCCGCATCGCTTTGTTGTTGATTTATCTAAAGTAGTTTGTAGCTACGGTATTGATCTCCTTTGTTCACTTTCGGACCACAAGATGGCGTTGGTTTGAGACATAATAGATTGATAAAAAGACTTCCTTTTTTAATCTGTTTTGTTATTCTGTCATGTCAAATTGTATAGGTGTTGAGAGTGTTCAGCTATGGTGGAAAGCAAGTTACTTTTGATTTTGTTAGCGTTGTTTTCTTTCTCAATGTAAATGTCAAAGTGAAATGATGAGGAGGGGTTAACTTCTGGAAGATTCCTGAACCGAGGATATATAGGTCCGGCTTTCTGCCACGGGAGACACTCTGCTATCTCGTGTCTTCCAACCTTAAATAGTGTTTTGATTGTCGTGTAATTTGAATTTCGGAATATGTAGTCTGTTATAATCTACCCACTAATGTGGTAAGTATTCTCTCAATTCTTCTTAAACCTATTTGTTTCTGGAACCTGTTTAATTTATATGAGTGCTAATCCATTCGTAGGGTCCCAGATTTCGGGCTCAAGACGGTCAGTCTCAGACGGCGTGCTTGCTCTTTTGTGGCCTTCTGGTACAGACTCAAGTTTCTTGGTACCCTCTGGCAAGGCTGGTGATTGCGCGGCTCACGACGCAAGCGGACAGCCGTACCCAAGAGTTGCGTACTTGAACTTATGATTACAAATTTGTTGAACTTTTATCCATATCCAGTATAAATAGCTGACTCGGGCGGAAGAGGAAGTAACCTCCTGGAGGGACGACGAGGAGGCACCGAGCACCATCAGCTCGGCTCTGACGCGCTCCGCTGCGGTTTTTTTTATACCCTCTGATTTTTTTTTAATGTAAATTTAATTTTGTTTTGAAATATACATGTATGTATGACTGAGGTGTAAGTTGTTTTCCTCTAAAGAGTCCCGTAGGTTTCCCACACGCACACACTTCTTTTCTCTTAGAAGGCGCCCTGAGGTAATCTCATAGATCTCTCCACTGGGTCAGCCGGTGAGTAGTCCGCCTGAGAAGAAAAGCGGCTACAATTTGTGAGGAGTTTTTTTTTATTTAATTGTGTTTATAGCCAGCAATTTAAATATTACATTGTTTGTTTTTAAGCTTGTACTAACATACATCTAAATGATTTTACGTATACTTGACATTTGTAAAACGAGAAATATAAAAAGACTACCGATAATATGCCACTCGGGACTGCGATAAAAAACTAGTCCACTTTACCACTTCTAATTTTGCCCATAATCTCACCACGTTTCTACTTACTAATTGGCCTTAAGATCATTAGACGAGGTTTTATCAGTAGTAACCGCAAATTTGTTTGTGACTGCGATACGAACCGGAACCTCTTAATAATTACACTTGTTCATCCGTTTCTAAATGAAAATCTAAGTGAAGTAAACAAAATCACTCGATTATAAAAGCATGTATTTCTAATTGTAGAGATTTTTATTATTTCACTTACATAATGCCCATGAAGGAAAAAATATTAAAAGAAAAACAGAGTAGTAGTACAGTTGTATATAGTACACCACACGAACATTTGACAAGTGTATCTGCGCACCAAGTAAAAGGAAGATATATTTTTGCAATCTCTCCATTCATTACTAACTAGTCTTGCTGGATTACGTGTGTTGGTGAATTAAGGGTGCGTTTCCTTTTTATAAGAGATTGGCTGGGATTACCCGTCATTAGGGCTGCGAGCAAACAAAGGGAGATGTTATAGGTTGTGTGTTTTATGTTGTGATACGGTGCCAGTAGGGCGGTGTAATAAGCAACCTCGTTTGCTTTATGTTGTGTTTTGTTCAGAAACTTGTATTTGGCAGTAATGGTACATGTCCGAGACACTCCGAGATTAGCGTTTATAACGTAATGTTGCGCTGAAAATTATACACATCACTTAAACATAATATTTAGAAAAAAAATGTGCTAGTATTACAATAGTCGCACATGATGTTTAACAGCTAACATCTCACCTATCTCACGGAAAACTGTACCACCGCACGCGCATCCCTGACTTTCTGTTACAGACTTCGGTCCCATTTCGAAATCACTCTTACAGATTGCAGGAAAATGATAGGAAAGAGTATAAACATCAAAAGTCTAAATAATTACAAGCCAGAGATCGTGGGTTCGATTCCCACCCAGTACAAATATTTTGAAATGAAAATAGTTTACCATTATGACGTATTTAGAACATAAAAAGATTTAAAGTTAATACGGAACACTTTAAAATGACTCATCAAACAGAAACAATTCTGTACAAATTCTCTTGACAATCTCACTGCAATGTACTGTTACACATCACACTATAACGTACCATTATCGTGTCAATAACCGCCCACGTGTAACTTAAGAGCCAAGTTACACTAAGTACTGCATCCGATGATCGGATTCTACCCGGAGCTACGAATCAAGGGACGATAGTTACCGAATGCATCAAAATAAACAGTTCTGAGCTCGAAACGGACGGGTTTATCTTGCGGAATGTATCTTAGGGGCTCGTCATGGGCGAAACGGGTAACTCTCGCTTAGGCGACTACACTAGGTAATAAGAGACCAGCGAGTGTGGAATATTATGTCAATCAACACGGGTATTTCGAAAAACGAACAGTAAGTATACATGAGAATAAAAGCAGCAGAGTAGCGTTTAAATTCTGCAGAGTACTACAAACATCGGTAATTTATAAACTATGTACATCCAAATATCCAGGCCTGTTTGTAAGACCTGTAGTAGGAGTATTTGGTGTAATTCTTATTATATAATAAAGAAGAGGATATATATATATATATATATTTATTTATGATTTGGAGCAAAAGAAATTAAACCTTAATGCGTGCACTTACGACAGCGTACTTTGTATTTCAAATCTTTAAACTTTACAATATAATACACACTGATGCGTTTCCACTACCGCCCTTAGCTTAGACCAGTGCTAAGAGTTCTATCGAGGGTCTCAATCTCCTATAAACTGTAGATGCAGCCGATACACTTGTGTATATTTACAATAATTATACCGATCACGGCAGGTCAGGTGCCAGTGTTTGACGAGACACCCGCTGACAATCGCGACCTACAACTATAAGTAATTGTTTTTTGATTCACTTTCGACTAGTTAGCGATTTTGTTTGCGGATGTTGGAGCGGATGTAGCGTGTAATCACTTCATACTAGATTTTACCTGCGGGTTTATTCCTGTCTAATTCAAGCCGTACAAAAAAACTAAAGGAGAAAGGTCTACTCTCACTTTTATATTCTATAAATACAGGGTGTAAGGGACAAAGTAACGAATACTGAAAAAATTGAAAAATTATAAAATAATTGATGAATTTTCTGGCTGAAAATTCAAATCATTTTCGACTCAGAATCATGGTCTGAATACACTATTTCAGTATTCTTTACGATGTCCCTTACGCCGTGTATAAAAATATAAGGTTGGTTTGTGTACGCTTCCAAAACTAAAAAAAACTCTGCAAGATTGAGCTTAAATTTTACCACAGTAGGTACATAAACCGCTTCAAGGATTGTTTTCGTTCCTTATTTCTAATCAATGCAAAGGCAGTGTGCCACAGCGAAAATTGGCAATGTACCGCTACTAAAGAACGAAACACGAGCCGAAAAGTTATTTGAGCGGTCCACTGTTGCTATAATTTTAAAGTACATATATTAATAATAACTTGACACATCTTACACAGGGCTATTTGAAGATTTATACAAAATAAAAATACATATAGGAACCATTTTTACATAGAATGGACGCAAACGAGCACATGGGCTGCTGGGCAGACCTGATGTTTGGTGACAACGCTACCCATGGAAAACTGCAACTCGAAAGACACAAGTGCGTTGCCACCCTTTGAGTGCTTTCCCCAAGCACTTGGGGTTGCCACCGATATCCTCATTGAACTCACTTCGTTAAAATCAACGAAATAATTACTTTGCATCGGTTTTCTGTTTCATTATGTAGACTTATTAATTAGCAATAACTGTCAATATAAATTTAATTATTCAAAGCTTATAATAGGTACACACCTTAATAAACTTCTCCGTTCTCTTCTCTGAAGTATTAAATAATAGGAGGAGTTAGAAGTTGAACAACTTACCTGAAACAAAAAAGCAATAAATAAACAATTTGTGCCAAACATTTCGGCAGCTAATGGGTTCATTTATCAATCTTCTCACTCCAATACATCAAATCTTGTTAAGAGGGAAAGGGGTAAAGAATGCCTCCTAATCCATTGTAATCGCATGCACGTGTGACGTAAAACTTGGAGAAATTTGCCCGAATAACCTTATTCAAACTAGCCCAAAGAAAAGTAGACTCTATTCGTAGAGAGACAAAGTGAGGATTTCCTTTTGTTTGTGCTTACAAAGGAATCATTGAGTCAAAACGAGGTAAATCAAATATCAGCAATAAATTCAAATCTATATTAACTTTTCCACATGGGGCTTCTCTTATTTGTCATAATTTATGGACCATCTCGTTTCGTTATACGTTATATCTTGTAAGGATAATATGACTATAAGACATAGTCACAAACATTAACATATATTAAGTTGGCCACTTTTTAAAAAAACCTGAAAGAAAAAAACTAAAAAACTTTCCTCTATATAAAAGTTACCAAATACGTGGTCCATTCCCGTTTAAATAATAATACAAGTTAAAGAAGTTTTCCAAATTTAGTTCTGTCACACTAAATAAGTTGATGTAATATTGATGTTTTTTAATCTTGCTCAGAAAGTTACGGAATAACAGAATGTTGTCTTCCATCACGCGCTTAATTAAAAATATATAATGTAACAGAAATGGTTCATAACTGCCAATTACCGCAAGTATTTTTTTTACTAATTAGTGAAAAAATAACTTATCGTATTATGGCTGTTTTTTTTATTTACAATTTTTCAAAGGCCTAGGACTTACCTAATACTTAAAGACGTATATACTTCAAATAGAGAGAGTAGAAGCAAATCTTTTATATAAAATTCTCGTGTCAAAATGTTAGTGTTACCATACTCCTCCGAAACTGCTCTACAGATTTTTATGAAATTTTGTGTGCCAAGAGTGACCCACCCCCAAATTTTTTTTTCAATATTTCCTAGAAATAATGTATATGGCAAAACGACGTTTGCAGGGTCAGCTAGTTTTCAATAAAAATTCTTTTAGCTCACGATTCGCGAACATCTCATTCATTTATTTTTATTTATAAACGTTTTCCAATAAACACAAAACTCTGTTAAACGTCTTTACGCTGGCCGCCTTTCTCGCTGTAGAGGGTAGGTAGACACAAAGGCCTTGAATGTATAGGGTCTAGGGACGAACAATGAACGGCATTGAATCCAGTCTGCAAAGGGCACATGCTTTCAAATAATAGCTCAGGGTATCCGAGACGGCATTACAAGAACATAAGAATTTATTCGAGGGCCGACTTTTTGTACGAATCTTCGCGTCGTCTTGCGAACGAAAATATTTGATTTTCGACAAAAAATAAAGTTTCTTTATTAAGACGATGCCACTTGAACTTTAATGTTTGATAACCCATTCGCGAATTTATGCGATATTTTTTTATCTCGATATTAAAACAAACACTTACGTAAAATCCTTCCATTAACATAATAAACTTTAATCTCGTTACGACCTCGTGAACAGGTTATCACAACTTTTGTTTTAATTATTTAAACTACTAGCTAAGCAACAAAGATTTATTTATGGCATTGTCCCCACAACGCAAACGGATCGTGTGTATAAAACCAATCTTGGTAGTAGGTAAGTATATAAAGTGTATTTGCTTAGTGTTTCATAGGTAAAATATAAATGTAGCACTTCAGGATTATTCAACGCGCGGCAGCACGGGACCCTTACCTTCCGGCTGACGCAGGTGCTTTCCGGGCACGGTTGCTTCGGAAAGTACCTGCACTCGGTTGCTAGGAGGGAACTGAGTCCCGCCTGCCACCACTGCGACTGCAGTGAGGACTCGGCCCAGCACACGCTGGCGGTCTGCCCCGCATGGGCGACGCAGCGCCGGGCCCTCACTGCAGTCATCGGAGTGGATCTCTCGCTACCGGCCGTAGTACGCTCCATGGCCGGTAGCGACAGTTGTTTTACCGCGGTCGCAACCTTCTGCGAGGAAGTAATCTCGCAGAAGGAGGCGGCGGAGAAGGCCCGGGAGGACGACCTCCACTCGGACCCGATCCGCCGCCGGCGAACCGGGCGGCGGAGGCGCGCCTATCACCGCCTCATGCCGGCCTGAGTGTGGCCGCGGGTGGACGGGGTGGGTTTCCCCTCCACCCGCATTAGTTTGGCCAGCCGCGAGGGGGCGGCGTCCGCGTGTGACGGACGTCGCCTAAAGAGAGGAATAATTTTGAGACGGGGCCCGCAACTGGAGCGGGCTGGCGCTAGGAGGGGTCCGGATGTCTTAATAACAGCTGTTCTCGGATCCCTCCTATTACAGGCGCAGAGTGGCACACCGTGTGGTTTTAGTCGGTCCGAGTCCGACACACCACCCCGCCGCAAACCCCGGTGGGGTGACGGCCCGAGGGGATTTCCACACGTTAAAAAAAAAAAAAAAAGGGTTTGTTTCAAGTTTTCCTTCTCTTTGCAGTGCTGTTATCCTGCGTAGTTTGCTCCTTTAGTCGGCTTTTACGACACCCACGGGATAAATAGGGGTGGTGACATTCCGTATTCTTAATCCGTCACCACACGGACAATAATTAAATAAAAAAGAGGTAAATTTAAATAAATCAATAATTAAGGAAGTTTATGAGCTTATACGTCAAGATTTTCAACAACAATAAACTTTCCATAAAATTTAATAGCATAACGCTACATTAATTGGCAGTACTTAAAAGCACATAAGAATGTAACAAGCCCTGTAAAGCTGACCACGAACGAAACATACTTAGACGCCTATTAAACCTATTACAGAGAAGAAATGATATTCACGCGCCAGGCTATCCATTAAATGCAAATATCTCTTGTAACTCCCTACAAGGGTGGGACAATCGTGCCGAGAGAAACGAAATGCTAAACTTTTTTATAAATGTTT